AATTAGAACTGACATTCACATTATTTAAAACCAATATAAAAGCAGATTACATAAAACATTTTGATATCCTGATTTTACAAAATGTCTGATGACATCAAGACTTGGTGACTTGCTATACATTTACTGTTTCTCAGTTCCTTAGAAAAGAAGGAATAAATGAAGTGAGAAGAACACTGTAAAAATCTAATAGACAAACTGACTAATCTCAGACCCCAAGGTCATAGCAAAGCAATTAATTTCTTGGCTTTTCAACAGCCCAAGACATGATTTATCAATCTGAGACCAGACTTATAAACACTATACATCTCAATAATATGTTCTTTGCACTGTGTAAATTTTTAAACAATGATAGATTGCCTGGGCTGGACCCAAGTTATTTTACAAACAGAAATAGAATATTTGCAAATGAAATGGTTCAATAACAGGGGAGAAAAAATGGAAAAAATAGAGTAAAAAGAAAGGATTATCCAAATAGCAGCTATACTTAACTGCAACTGCAAAGTAATCTGTGCAGTAAAATGTTTTCAGAATCCACATCCTTTGAAAGTTTATCATTTTGTACCACTGACACTGAAGACCACTAAATGAAAAATATTTCTTAAGTTCAACAACACTAACAGAAACTTACACTGCCAAAGAAATAATGTGATTGAGCTAAACAAGGGCTGTAAATTAATACCTCTCTCTAGTTGCTCACTCAATCACAGACTGCCTTGAAATCATTAAGGAATTTGAGTCTTAGTTTCCTTCCCCTTAAAGTGAAATAATTTTTTATCTCTCTTCCAACAAGAGCCTAATCTTCATACCTTGAAGTGTTCAGGCTGATCATCTGCTCATAGTGAGAATGCAGCACTATTTCTTTAAAGCTGGATTCTCTTTGGCCAGCATCTGACACAATCTGGCCCTGGCTCTGACAAGGCTCTGAAGATGTTGCTGTAATATGAAAACACTCTTCTGCTATTTTCTCATCTGGAGACAGTCAAAATTCTTCACTAACTAGAGCACTGATCCTGGTCTCTGCTCAGCCTGGGAAGGGAGGAGGGAAGTGCTGTTTGGGCATGAGCTGCTTTTAGGGTCTTGATTGAAAAAAATTGGGTCTGTTTCTTGAGAGAACATAGTGGGTGCTCAAGAATACAGATGAGCTCAAAGACTGTGTATAAGAAATGAGTTTGAAAGTTCAACACGCTTGATTTCCTGTCCTCTAAATTTACTGCTCCAGACAACACGGCTCCTGTCAATTTTCAGGTGACAAATTCTCTCTCAGAGACCCAGCTGCTCCTTCATTCCCTTATTATTTAGACAATACAGTAAGATCTCAGTTTGCATAGGGCTGATCCTTATGATGCAAGAAAATCAAAAAGATCAAAGGTGCACGTGATATGGCTGCACAAGTTTCTTCAGGTGAAGTGCTGCTCCAAGGATTATTTAGTTATTTCATTTCAAACAACAACTCCTACTGAGCCAGCACACATATGCAAAGCATAGTTTTCAAAAAAGGCAAAAGAAATTTCTTGTTACCCATCAGTGTTGTTCCACATATTCTTGATAATAAAATTATTAGAGGTTCTTTTAAAAAATTGAACATTAAAGCAGTGAACACTGCAACCACAGCTCCCTGTAAAATAAATATTAACTTCATGTTGCTTCAGGTCCTACTAATGCTGCAGGAGGGGAGCACTTGAACAAAGAGGAATAAAGAAACGAGTTCAGGCTTAAAAATGAGACATCAAAAGGGGGTTTAGCAGGAGACGGAAACAGCTATTTTTACCTCTTATGATAATGGGGTTATAATAATGTCTTTATACAAAAGAAGGAACTGTGGCATTTCCAAAGTGAGAATTCAACACTACTTCCAAAACTCTGTTCAGAAAGTTATGGCATTCACTTTCAGATTTTTTTTTTTTGAAGACTTTCTATTCTCCCTTCTATAATTTAAAGGGTGCTTCCTCCCCGCTTGGCTCATTTCCAGTGTCACTGTGCCAGCTCTCTCTACCTAGGGTTTCTCATCGCCATCCCAGTGCCTCAGGCCCATGGTATTCATCCTACTTATAGACCCAAGTCTGCAATTTATTGCACCCGGGACAGGCTGCTGCACCTCCACGGACTCCCACAGCCTCCATAGCCCTTTCTGCCCCTACAAACAGCCACTCTGTTGGAGCATAAAGGGGGCTGGGCAAGGGCACAAGCATTCCCCCTTCCCTGCCCCTCTTCTGCATTCCCAATTTACGCCAGCAGGTTTTCCTGGTGCAGTACACCACAGGAAGAAATGCAATTCCTAGCTGGAAAACTTTAATGTCTAAAAGTAGATTATTTCAGGATATATTCTAGGGCCCAGCTCCACAGAATCATAGAATGATTTGGGTTGGAAGGGACCTTAAAGACCATCTAGTTCCAATATCCCTGCCACGGCCAGGGATACCTTCCACTAGACCAGGTTGTGCAAAGCCCTAACCCCACTCTCTGCTAGAGCATTCCTGCCTTCCTTCTGCTGTAAACTGTGCTGTCCTCCCCACAGCTCCTCTGCTACATTCACTGCAGGTTTGAAGCAGGCTGGTTGACATGGGGATGGAGCTGATCATTCATCTCAGTTACTTCCAAAGCTGCCACACACCTGGAAATACAGAGCTGTGACTGATCCTCAGTCAAATATTTACTTTGGCAGGTGCAGGGCAGAATACCTCACTGTGCTCACCTCTGTTGCTGTAAGTAATTTGCATCCCTAACCATTGACAAACACTGCAAATTGCACACCTGGAGCTGTTAGAGGCTCTAAGTGGTCCAAGCCTGTACTTCCCTCTTCCCTTTTAAAATCAGCTACATTGTACCTCCACAGCAGCGCTATACAACAGAATCATAGAATGGTTTGGGTTGGAAGGGACCTTGAAGTAGTATTTCCAAGCCCCCTGCCATGTGTAGGGACACCTTCCATTAGACCAGGTTGCTTAGTGCAACCTTTAACACAGCAAGAATGAAAGGAAAGACAGCATTTTAGGTTAAAAAGATAAATTAAAAAAAAATGCACCTGAGTCCTAATAAATGCCTACGACAGCAGAGTGATTAGTATCTCACCTCACATTTGCACTGAGTTTGGTGGGAGCTGAGACAGTCGCCACTGGGATTAATCCACACTATTCCCTTGCCCAATAGCTTTGGGAACAGCGGTGGAGGAGGCCCCGGCTCAGCAGGACATCTTTCCAACAGAGCCATTCATAGGTGGCAACCAGATAAAAAACCTGTTCCAACTGTCGTTGAATCGCTTGTTTCAGATTAAGGGAGTCCAGAATCCCCATTTACAGGTGGTGCAGAGGTCTCTGCCAGCACAGCCTGTAGCAATCCATTTGCCCTGCTCTATCACCTGCCACTTACTTAGCAATGTTTAAAATCTTGATCTTTTCTATTCTATTATTGTACATTTGTATGGAGATTGTAAATACTGGGCATCTTCCTTATCCTCTCCAAGTGCAACCCCAAGAAGAAGAATGATAAAGGGAAGCTTTAACAGCTTTGTGATAACACTGTACATGTAGCATTGAGCTGGGTTTTTTTCCAGAGCTATCCTGGAATACACCAAACCAGCCAGGTTATGTGGTTTGTCCTCCAGTACTACATCCTCACTAGCAGCACAAATAACTTCAAGAGTAACTTGGAGTAACCTGGAAGCTCTCCTGAGACACAGGCAGAAAAGACGCAGAGTCGTCTTCCCTCACATCCCAGTTGCAACGAAAAAAAACCAAAATTGAACCCACACGACTTTTCTTAGCTGTGATACATTATGCTTCAAGGGGTGCTTAGTTTAAAAAAAAGTGTTTTGTCAGAACTGAAGACTAACAAGGAAAAACCCATTTGCACCCATAGGTATCTGTGCTAATGATTAGTCATAAATACTAGTGCTGTATTTTCTACCTGCATTTGTCTGGTTTCAGCTTCCAGTCATACAGTCCTCAGTCTACATACCCTGATCATATTAAAGATCCTGCTAACACCCAAGACACCTCAAAGACGCTGAAACAGTGGAAATCTGCCAGTTTTCATGCCATCCTCATGTTTTATCATCAATTTCCTTGCAATGAAACAGCACCAGGTTTGGTTCAGACTTTGAAGAAACCAATGAAAAACCTTCTGCATGCTCCCAGTCAATGCTGTTTGGGGTTTTCTTTCTCTACACGTCTCAGGTTCATCTTATCTGAGTGTACAGTGCTGGGGGTCCTTTTAAACAATAAGTTATTTGGTACCCAGCCAGCTGTCTTATTTTAAAAACCTAAGAAAATTATATTTAGCCATAAATTTTTGATCAAGTAAATTGTTAATTTCCTCAGAGAAAACAAATTTATTTGACAAGGTATATTTTCTGTAATTTTTAGAAAAGGTTAATAGATTTTTTTATTACTGTCCCCATGTACCAAAACATAGCCACCAAAATAGACAGGACAAATCAAATTCTCCCTAACAGGACAACTTTTCTTTCCATATTTTACAGACAGGTGCTGTGAGATTATTCATCTCTGGTTTGAAACAGACTCCAACTCATATCCCCTGTTCGGTTTAATTGGATCGGATGCTGTGCTATGTGTATTCAAGATCCCGCATCTCTGAGACATCTAAAACAAGTAGAACTAAGTATTTGATTAATATTTAAACACAGCAAAACTGACAAATATTGCAGCAGATAAGTTTCTTGGGCAAGATTTCCCTGACAGGATACCAGTAACTTCCACTGAAAGGAGCCACTGATAGTTACTTGTATCCTGAGGGGGAGAACGGGAGCCCTGGAGATCTACTTAGTTTGCTGCTTTCTGTGCACATAAAAGCAGAATACATAACAAGGTCACAACAGACCAAAACCAGTAAATCTTCAAGCAGGTGCAATTCAAATAGATACCAGATCTGCTGGAAAGCAAGAAGCTTGACCAGCATGCAGAATTTCTAAAGATCACTACTTTTATAACATTTTAAATTTTATGACTGTTTTTCAAAAGTCAAGCAAAACGTTAGGTACATACTTTTCAGGGTTTTCCACTTCTTCAGTAACAAAATTGAGGTAAAACCTAGAAAAGAATTATAAAACATATTATAAGGACTTGGTAGATTTTTATTCTATATTTCTTTCACAAAGAATCAGGAAGATGCTTTTAGTTAAGCACAGCTATTAATCACAGTAGACTTTGCAGACCCATATTTGGATTACAGAGAGTGTGAGATTTAACCTTCCTTCATCCTCACGCTCAGGAAGGGAATTTTCAGAAAAGACAGCAAAGCACAAAAAAAAAAAGACAAAAGCTATGTAAAGTTAGTGTGGAACTAAATTATTTTCTTTCCCTTGACATTCTAGGCAGATTATGGTTTACCTTAATTCCATACACACACAGAGACACACACACACACACCCTCAAGCCTCATATTCCACTTGTGGTTGTAGCCTTTACTATTTCAAGTTATATTGGCGAAAAGTCTCATCACTGTATTCAGCAAGGACTTCTTAACAATAAAAATAAACAAAACCCTGGAAGAAACCCTTCTGAAACAAGAACTTTGACACTAGTTTGCTGTATAGAATCACAAACCCAGGCTGCTAACCCTGCATGCTCTTGCACAACCTCCAGCACAGGTTGCACTCTAGTCGTATTCCAGCAGCACTCAAGAGACAGCTCTGCATGGGAATTCATAGGAACTACTCACCGGGCACAGCCCTGCATACAAAGCAAACATAAGCCTCAAGGTCACTGAACCCTCTGTTCTGCATTTATTAGCACTAGGTCTGTGCATCGCTGGATCACAGTTGCGCCTGGCTTGGAGACAGGCACAAAGTCAGATCCTGGCTAATTAAACAGGGCAGTCAATACAGTGCTTATGCTGGCTTTGTGCTCTTGTACAGAAAGACAAATGATACCTGAGCCAACAGTGCTACAGTGAATAAACAAACAGTAACTGATCTGGCAGAAAGCTTTGCTCCATCACAAGTCTCTGAGCAGATCTGGGTTAGCGGAATGAGTTAGCGCTGGCTCACGGCTTTTAAAAAACGTGATTTTGTGACTGAGCATGAAATTCTGTAAAACCAGAGTTGCCACCTTATACGACAACCTCAGTACTTGTTTTTAAACTTTCTAGCGCACAAAGCACAAAAGAAGAGGTTGGGATACTTCAAAAGAGAGATGGCTGCTGACAAGTAAGATGTTCAGCTACTTCTCTCTGGTCTTTGTCCTGCTTCTAGACAGAAGTGATTTTGATCAGGAACTGTAGTGAAAGGACAAGGAGTAATGGGTTCAAACTGAAAGAGGGGAAATTTAGAAAAGAAACATGGAAGAAAATCTTCACAGTGAAGGTGGTGAGGCACTGGAACAGGTTGCCCAGAGAAGTTGTGGATACCCCATCCTTGGCAATGTTCAAGGTCAGACTGGATGGGGCTTTGAGCAACCTGGTCTAGTGTCTAGTGGGAAGGGTCCCTGCCCATGGCAGGGGGGTGGGACTAGATGATCTTTAAGGTCCCTTCCAACCCAAACCATTCTGTGATTTTATGATTCTGTGACAGCCCAGCATCATTCCTTTTATTGATGAAAAGACATGTTGCCTTGCATTCCTTTCTTCACTTGTCCTTTTTCACCCAGCATTTTATATACCCAACAGTCTATGCTTGTTCTTGGCAGGATGAATCCACAAATAGAAGAGATACTGCCTTTGTTTTCTTCTTCAAAGCTGTATCATTAAAAGCTAATAGTCTTGTAAGCTATGCATAAAATTCTGCCTGCATCCTGGGACATGCCACCAACACTTGCAACACTCCTTCACATTCAGCTTATCGTATTGATTTAGCCCCATGAAACTGATAGTGCAAGGGTATTGACACTCCACTTAATGGTCTGCTCCTCTGTGCTCCAAGGCAATCAATTTGAGCTGGTGACAAAGACAAATAGGCAGCTGGGAAGAACCACTAGCCAAATTAGGTCTTTTTCCTTCTAATTTCTTTTATAAGTAGCAAATAAGGACCTTGAAATGAAAGTCAGAAGGTATAAAGCAAAAAAAGAAAGACTATTTTTATTGCAGAAGTTTGGACCGTTATGTGGAAAATGGAAATAAATGGGAAGGAAACATCAAAAATACTATTATTCTGTTGCAACATTCTACAGCTATCAAACTCTGAATAATATTAAAGAGCTTTTAAAATTGCTTTCATATAAAAATATACACTTAGGTTAATATTTTAAATGTGAGAAACCATCACATGTAAAGATATGAGAGGACAGAGGCGGTTATAGGGGAGAGAGGGAAGAAAGTAGAGATTGTCCGCATAATAAGTTCCATTTCTTTGAGGCTTCAAAATGACAGGCTCTTTTCTTACATATCTATGCCAGATAAAGGCTTTGGACTCTCTTGGGTTTCCTCCCCTGCTGCCATTTAATATATAAAGTTCTGATCATACTTCAGTGTGCATGTTTATAATCCTTCCGCAACCAGGGAGTTACAGAGGGGCAGAGAACTCCAATGCTCGGCCCATTGTCCCTCTGAATTAAATAAATAAACCCCTTATCTCTCAGCCCTCTCCTTTTGTGTTGAGGTAAAGAACTTGGCTGCCTGTGAGGCTATGGAAAGCAAAGGGAAGACCTGCAGACAAAGCTATCTCAAAATAAGCCCACTCTGTGCATTGTAGTCTCCTTTTTTCCCCCACACTGCTGCTGTAAAAGCCCTTTGGCACTGCACAATGTGGAGCCCTCACAGGCATGAATAAATTGTAAAGGTAGATTCGAAGAGCAGCAGCACCTTTCAAACCAGCTGCTGTGTACTTTGCTGGGGAAAGAGAGAAATAACTTGAAAGTTCTGAACAGGATACCTGAAGGCGGATTCTCATGCCTTTGCTCACAGTCAATCATGCTTGACTTCTGTGGAAGCCAGTTGCACTTTTTGTCGAGTGAGGTCCAATTCTCTCAGAGCAAGAAGCATAAGAATCTATTTTTTTACCCTGTTTTTTGGTCCACACTGATCTTATCATAGTTTGCTTCTTATTCTTCAAATACTGCTTTTACAAAGCAAAGCTAAGGGCCACACAACTTTGTAACAGAATCATAGATTTGTTTTTCATGTAATTACTGACTTGTTCAACAAAAATTAAATCTTCATTATCTCTTTTATCCTTTTATCTAAATACTTAATGAAAATTTAATTTTGTGGTCTGATTTTTTCGTGTTCAGTGCATGTTTATCTGAAGGAGAAGAAAAATCTTTCTTTTATAGAGCTGCTTGCACAATAATCACTGAGCATCTGGAACAGTGGTGAGAACTACCCTTAAAAAGATGTAGAATGGGCTACTCGCTTCATATAAATAAATCTCTTTCTTAGAGCACATTAGTACTGGTTTTCAGGACAAACACTTATAAGTTTCATCCACTTACCAGCCTGAATAGGCATACATTCCTGAATAAAAAGCAAGTGGTAGTCCCAAAACACTGGCATCATTCCCCGCAAAGGCATTTTTAAAGTGCTGTGTTTCTCCTGCAACATCAACAAAAAGAATATTGAAAAATAAGCTCTTTGGTCACCTACTACTTTAAACAAATAAATATATCACACCGTGGAACATTTAATCACCCTACAGTTCACTGACATCAAGTTCTGCCCTTGACCTTAACTTCTGACCCAACCCTTGCCGTCATAATCTGACAGCAACTGTAAAAGGCTTGTGCTGTCTGTAGCCATGCAATAGCAGAATTTGACCTATTAGTTTGTTTCAGAGCATTCTGAGCTTGATGACATTCACTACTCTGTCATTTCCAGCAATGACTTACATCAACATGAAAGAGCAGAACAAGCTCTGTAGTTTTTGATGTGGAAAATTTCACTTGTTCAACATTCTAATCAGAAGTAACTTTGCTGACATTTCATTCAGAAGCAACATTTATAAGATAAATAAACCCAAAATATTAAACATTTCTACTACTGAAAAATGAAGTTAATTATTCCCTACCACATGATAGTTAATACTGTATTAATATTTCATCAAGTAAGAATTACCTGTATATGTCATATATATACATATATACAAATGCAAAAATGTAAGACTCATGCTATGCTCTTATTCATTTGCAAGTTGTTTTATGGTTTGTAAGACATCCCTACAATATCCCAAATTTTCTGCGTAGCAATGATCCTCCACAGAGATGGAGCAGGAAGAAGCCGAATTCATTCAGACTAGCAATAGGTCAGATCCTCTACCCTTTGCTCTGTTTTTTCTGAGCTCTCAGTCAAAATTTCCCACTGAAACAGAGGCTTTTTGGTTAAGGGAAAAGCTGCGGCCACAGAAAGGTCCCAGTGGAGAATCAGGGACACTATCTGTGCTACTTCAGGGCATCCAAGCGCAACCAAACCTGGGCCTGACCTGCTCCAAAGGAAAAGTGGAGTGGATGGGAACGGAGAGAAATTCTGCCCATTTCATGTGTAATGTGCATTGGGAAATGATGTTGCAACTGCCAGAGAGTAAGTGGAAAACAAGAAAACAAAAACAGTGAACCAGCAGAATGCTACACAGGAAAACCTTTATTTCAGAGTCTTTATTAACCACAGCTGTTTGTCCCTGAGTAATGGAGCTCACTGCACAGACCAACGCTGTGCTGTTCACTCAGATGGGTTTGTGAGTCATCAGAGAAGAGCATCCCCAGGGACAGAGCCAACAACTGTGACAGTTTTTGTTAGATAAAATCTGCCACCAATTCATTAAAGAGTGCTCCCTATTCTGCCCCTCTGTACTGAGTGGCTGCTTGTGCTCTGTGTAGTTGTTGTAAGGAGAGTGAGCTGGGGCTTGTCACCATGTCACACCAACTGTGGAGAGAGCTGTAATGCAAAAGTCTCTGCAGGTAGCTGAGCATCTGTCAGCGAAAAGAGTGCCTTTATAAGGGTATGTAGTGACAGGAAAAGGGGGAATGGCTTTAAACTGTAAAAGGGCAGGTTTTAAACAGATATTAGGAAGAAATTCTTCTCTGTGAGGGTCATGAGGCACTGTACCAGCTTGTCCAGAGAAGCAGTGGATGTTCTGGAAGTGTTCAAGGCCAGGCTGGATGGGGCTTTGAGAAACCTGGTCTAGCAGAAGGTATCTCCGCCGATGGAAGGGGGTTGGAACTAGGTGGTCTTTAAGGTCCCTTCCAACCCAAATCATTCTATGACTGTGTGATTCTGTGAAATCGGAGACCTTCTCCCACCACATGCCCTGTACCATGACTAGGGACCAGCACAATTAAAGGAGACATTCTGCTTGGACTAGGCACGTATGTCCATCTGTCATTAAAACCCATCCTGCCCCTTTCACAAAGTTCATGCCAAAGGCAAATTACAGAGAAGAACAGTCCCTTTGCTCAATTGAGAGTGAGTCTGATTGAAATGAGCTCATTGGCATGCTGAAGGAAACACCAGTTCACCCCAGTGTAGTTCCACTTCTAATCAATTACATGACAGAGCAGAGCCTCAGTTAAGCAAGCACAGACTAATTAAGAGACTTTGCTGCTACAAGCATTATTTGGCGGAGGCAGGTGGGGAAAGACTGGGGAGGGTAAAGATAAAAGCTCTTTAAAAGCATTTACTTTTCATTTCATACCTTTAATTAGCTGGATAACTCCAGGGACTATAATTATCAGAATTGCTACAAGCTTGCAAAAGGTAAGGAACATCTGAATGCGGGCACTCCAGCTGACACTTGTGCTATTCAGGACCATCACCAGTGCTGTGAGGGGAAAATGAAAAGTCAGAAAGAAATAATTGTCACAAAACTCTTTGCCAGCAGAGAGGTCACATACCCAACAGATCCTGATGCATTAAAGGAAATACACCCCAATAACCTTCTCCTGTCATCCTCCTACTTCTCCCATTCCACTTCAACGTGCCGCATGAAAGGCTTGAGCTGAGCCCCTCAACCTGACCCACTGTGTGGCCTGTCCCTCTGTCCCTTCTCTGCCTGGCTCCCTTCACACCAAATTACAGCTTCATTGACCCAGAACTGTCAACTTCTGGTAGACAATGGGCTGGCAGGACCCTGCCTTGGATGAAAGAAATTAATTGCCTAACGCTTGTCACTCCAGATTTCTTTGTCCGTGCTGGTTTGATTAGAGATTTGCATTTTTCACAAAACAGTAATAATTAATAATAATATTAAATTTTCTCAGCCTTCTTTAGACCTGGCATAAATTTGTCACTTGCTACCTTATTTACCTCTGCTCCTCTTTTCCACACTTTCTCCTCCCTTTTTGCTGTACCACCAGAGATGCAGGAGGGCCAGAGTGCAAATGACGTGCCCGTCATTGTCGGGAATTGATGAAGAAATAGAGACCTTTTCCTTCTTGAAAACAAAGCCCAGGTCTGCACCTCACCAGCATGTGGAGAGATAAGTGAGAAGGGTTTTTACATCCTGCCTGCTCAGCTTGTGTCTCCTTCTGTGTCAGGAACAGCATCTTCTTGCATTTACTACAGCACTGACTGACAGGAAGATGGTAGGTCTTATCATTTGAGGGCCAGTTATTCTAGTTTATTTAAACAATTACCCTGACAAAACACAGTCAATAAATTTTACCTAAAGAATGTAAAATGGGAGCCATTTCACTAGATAAAAAGCCCCTTTCCCCCTCTGCTTCAGGGAAAGGGAAACGTAGTCAAGCCTGTTCACTCATCATCTCTTGCCGTCATATGGAGCTAATGAAGTAGCTCCTCATCTCAATCCTCCCCTACTTCAAGCTCTCTCAAGAGCACAAGTTTGCTTGTATCATCAGCCACATCACACATCTCAGGATGCATAAAAGCACAAGCTGCTACTTTGTATGAGCTGTCATTGTAGATCTGGCACAGTACAGGCTTTCTGGAAGCAAACCCCACTGATTTATCCCAAGTCTTTTATACACTTTCTGTTCACTGGCAAAGCTAAAACTATACAATAAAAAAAATCTTCTCAGTTTAAACTTAAAGTAGTTTTGGTCCAATGGAAAAGGGAGAAAATTCCAAGTAATCCAGATACCAATGTATTTTTTGGATATTTTTAATAAAATAAAACTTCCAGGAAAGGAAAAAAAAGGCTTTTTCTGGAAGTTTTATTTTGGAAAGAGAGAGTTCCACTCTCAAATGAAGAACCTGCAAGCCAACATAAACTCACAACATCATTTAGCATGATATTTTCCACAAAATAAAGATCTTTAAGATCAAAATCTTTAATCAGTTCTGTATCTCACCAGACACATTTCTTGGCCAGAAGGTGAAGTCCAGGCATGGACCAAACACAAGGAAATGTAAAGGAGGAGTTTTTTGTGCAAGAGTATCTGCAATTTGATATCCAGCTTACTTGGAGTTCTGACTGCAGCAATCAGTCTGTTACCTTACACAGGTCAGAGCAGGTAACGTGAGCATCCAGCCCTCAGAGAGACCTCCTCCAGGCTTTCTAACACATTGGTTTCACCTTCCTGATACACATATGAGAATGCCACAGGATGGTGAACCAGTAGGAACAGTAATGTCAACTCATAGGGAGACTCATAACCTTTTTTGCTGGTCAGCCACACACAGATCACAAACACCAAATCTGTGTAAGAGCTACACTGGCTTTAAAGAAAAAGAAGCCTGTGAGCAGTTTGTGTTAAAATCTCTTCCATCCCCAACTATGAGTTCAAGTCAGTCAAACATTTCATCTGAGGCTTTCTAATCAGATGGTGAAAGCAAAAGGGACACTGCAAGGACCTTCATCAACCAGGAAACTGAAGGGATGCTACACCTGCAGTCAGCCTTGGGCACATGCTGTTAGTTTTTACAGAATCACAGAATGGTTTGGGTTGGAAGGGATCATAAAGATCATGTAGTTCCAAGCCCTATGCCACAAGCAAGGACACCTTTCACTAGATCAGGTTGCTCAGAGTTCCATCCAGCCTGGCCCTGAACACTTCCAGGGATGGGTCAGCCACAACTCTGGGCAACATGCACCAGTATTTACGACTACCCTCATCATAAAAATTTCTTCCTAATATCTAATCTAAACCTGCCCTTTTTCAGTTTGAAAACCATCTCCCTTTGTCCTATCACTAAAACTCCCTTGATGCAAATGTCCTTAGATGGTCCTCCACAGGACTAAGACCCTTGCAGAGCTAGAGGACTGTATTAGTATCAGTTCGGGTTGCAGGGCTGAGACTTAAGTGCGTAGAATATTTGAGACCAGTTTTATATTTTCTGGAATTTCATCTTATTGTACCTATTATGGTATAAGAATTTACAGTCTTCTACATAAATATATATAGAAATATAATACATAAATATATCAATTTTATTATAGACTATGATTAATAATTTTAGTATTCTATAATATAATATTTAGTCTTAAGGTTCTACGTGCATAACAGCTGTCTAGAATTGTGAGGCTGCTATCATGTACCAGCACCAGACTAGTTGTGTTAGCAATTGAGTAGTGAAAGGCAACAGGGAAGCAGAATCACAAAGAAAGCTGCTAAAAAGCAGGAAAAGAATATGACAACTGTGCTAGGATCCATACATAGTCCCGTTATATCTTGGGACTATGGCCATCATTCAACACCCGTCATTTATGAATAAAGCCTGATGGAGATATTTAAAGAAACTGATTGTAGACACTTGGATACAGGATCACAGCAAGGAGGAGAAGGAAGGAGCAGTTTCCCAGGAAAAGGGCAGTGAAAGGAGGACTGAAGTCTAACTTTGCTAACTAGAAGTCCGGCATCTAGTGTGGCTGCATCCTCAGTGAAGAAAGAGCTCCAGAGGATGAATAACAACACCTCTTTGAGATGCCTATCCCAGATAAGATGAGATGCCTCCAGGAAGTGCCTCTTTCCCTCTTTCTCCACCAACTGCATGGGGAGCATAAAAAATTACCTTAAACTAAACACCTAGCTAAAAACAAGATGGATGCTAACCCAGAGGAGTGTGGAAGGAGAACAAAATGGGGTTCAGGAACAATCAAACACAATGGTAACACTGATCATGTTGCTTTTCACAATCTCTTTCCTTCCCACAGCCACAGCTATAGATAGATAACAAAATCTAATGGGAGAAGCAGCAGAAAGCATTACATCCTGGCCTACTTTTCAAGAATATATGTACCATTGCCTCAGCAGGAGACCAAGAAAACTGCCCTGCCTTAACCTGTCAGACTTTGAGGGTCAAGGCATTTAAAAAACGCAAATAATACCCTCAATTTGCAGATCCTAATGCGTCAGTTAAAGGTCACAGGAGGCACAAAAGCACCTATCAGAGCAGTTTTTGCTATCCCTGCAAGCCAAGAGATGTTTTAACTTAAACTGTTTGTCTGAAAATTGTCAGCGATAGAGAGTGGCATCTGTAACATCTGCCATGATGGGGTAAAAAAAAAGGCAACTAACTGTAGACTCATATACATGCCTGTAAACTTTGGGGCTGGACCATTTGCCAGCAAGCACTGATAGATCTGTACAGCTGACCTCAGTTTTCGAGCATAACTTTACCTCGAACAGCCAACGATGGGGATATTTGAGTTTTTCGGCAGACCCCCCAAAAAAATAAAAAGGGGGAAATTATATATTATTGCTACATAAAATGCCTAAAATACACATAAATGAGTGTAAAAACATGTGTGAGTTAGCAACCAGCTTTCAGTTTCACAGTTTTTAATAGCTGAAACCTCTTTATCTGCTTTCTGATACGGAGGCCAAGTGGAAAGATTGGAACAGGCTCAGTTAACGTGTTTCTACTCAGGTTATATATCGATAGAAGAGTTTAATACCTTTCACAGTGCAATTTATCCCTTCCTGTTACCACTATATTTAAGTTTAGCGTTAAAAAAAGAATTCAAAGATACAAATAAAGCAATATATGAATATAGGGCATTTTTGCACTGCCACCATGCTTTGCAATGATAGGCACAGTGATAGGATGCTTCTTCACTGGAAGAAACAATAAATATGTAGGAGTCCACTAGTTTTCACTGAAAGAGAAAAATTAATTTTAAACTCTTTCTCCTAAAAAGACTATCTTCAGCATCAGAACAAAGGTGGACAACAACCCTTTTGCTTTGTGTCCTGGGGTTGTTTTGTCCTACTTGAGCAAAGCTGGGCAGTTAGAAGGGCTGGTCTCCTGCTTGCATTTTCTTCAGCTGTCCTTCCCTGTGCTGGGGCACATCCAGCTTTTCTCTCCTCTAACTCGCCATTTATTTTCATAAAAATTGTAGTAATTAGATATCCTGTCTCTGGAAGTGTTCAAGGTCAGGTTGGATGGGGCTTTGAGCAATCTGGTCTAGTGGAAGTTGTCCCCATCCATGACAAGGTGATCTTTAATGTCCCTTCCAACCTAAACCATTCTGTGACTCTAACAGTCTATGAAATGTATGATGTAATAAAAATCTTAGAGATGTCTCCTCTTCTTTCAGGTATAGTTAAAATTGACTGAGTTTAGAAAAAATTTCTGTCAGATCGACAGATAGACTGTGATATGCATATCCAGTATCTGACTAAGTTTTCCTCCTCGTGAACACTTGCTTAAGAAGCACCAAGTGAATTTAAGTGATTTCTAAGTTTGAAAAGAACAGGCAGGTTTTGCTTTAGATGTCCAGAAAGCTGTGGCACCTGAAAAGTGACTCCACATAAGTATCCTTCTCTGTACCAAGATACAAATGTTTGGACATGTTGGTTGGTTTTGTTAAAAAAAAAAAAATTATAATAATGACAACTAAAAATGAAAGCAGCATACTGTGGAACAGAAAATTTGCCTCTACATATTGTTCAAGATTGCTCTGAACAGGTATGGTTTTGAGGGGTGTTTTGTGCCCAGCATATGCTTTTTTCTAGAAATAATAAAGCAAGAATAAGGAATTTTTTAAAGGTCATCATTTCCAGCAGTTCCATTTTAACTCTCATCTGATCTACATCTTCCCTGCATCACCATTCCTTCTTCACTGCAGAGGCACAGAGGGGGAATGATGGCAAGGAGAATGGGCTGTAGCCCCACTATGAGAAATATTTTTTCTCAGCTGGTAGAGAAGCAATAGTATTTGCCACTCCCCAGCACAGTCCTGGCACATCCACCTCAGACAACCTTTTAATAATAGGCTTAAGATGCATAAAAGAAGGTTTAGGTGGAGGGGGGAGAAGGAAAGAGAAAAGCTGTCTTGTGATAAGATGGAAAAAACTGGGCTGCAATAACATGTGAGGCTTTAAAAACTCCCACACTGCAAACTTTAAGACCAGTTTAGACAAATATCTGTAAGAAGTTGTTTAGATAGTAGTGATTGTATTTGGGATCAGGGATCACCTGAAGATTTTTCAAAATCTCTCCCTGCCCTTTCTAGTATAACGAGAAACGACAAACTAAAACATTGGAACAAAGTCTCACCCAAGGACAGAATTTAATGGTGCTTCCCACTGCCTTTCCCCCATGCAATAAAGACAGATACACAACGAGTGCTCATCAGGCAAGGAGAGAGAAGGGACCAGGCCTGGATAAGAAGACAAAAGACATGTCATTTCACTTTCTGATTGACTTAAAATTTGCAGGGGAAGCAAGCACTACTTTTGGCACCATTAAATTGGATTATAAGATCTTCAGGGCTCCAAAGCGTCTGTTCAGCTCACCACCTTAATCTTACCTATCACTCTGCCTACATGCACAATACCAAACATTCATAACAATTACCACCACAACAGCTGATTCTTACCATACAAGGATAACAGTCAGACACTGAGATTAAGTGTAGCAGAAGTTCTATGACTACTACAAATGAAACACCACTGTAGAGCATACTACAAAGAATAAAGATAAAACCTCACTGTTTTCCTTAGCTTTGTCCCATTCATCATTGCAAGCTTTCTACAAGAATCCCTTCTTTCAGTGAAGTGTCAGCTCACCCCACAGACCTACTCTGTACAGGAGCAGTCTGCTATGACCTCTTTTTCACTTAAATTAAAAGCAATAAAAACATATTTCAAATTGTTCACCTACTGTGCTTGAATCACACGTGCTTAACAAAATGCTTTGATGGAGTCCTCACTTAACATTCCTTCTGTCTCAGTGACCTTGACTGTTACTGAACATCTGTTTCACCCTTATCCTGCACTGAAATGTTTTAGACAGATGTAGCTGTAAAAAGTCATTGACCTCAAAATTCAAGCCCTTAATTCAATTATTCCTATGAAACCTATAGTTTGTGCATAATTAAGTTAGAAAGAAATGCGGTCACATACTGATTTTTTAATACTCCTAGCAGAAGGGAAAACTTATCAAGAGAGTTCCTACAAAAAGCCACAGTAACCTGGAGACTGGAAATTTCAATGTCAATTGAACTCCTTACCCCAAAGAAAGAAAAAGTCATCTGAACCTATTATTGTGCAAAACTGAAAGGGTCTCCTGTGGGCCTTTGATCATTTTGCATGTCTTAATTCCTTTTTCCAGTCCTTTTGTTTCTGTTATGTGCACTGAGCAAACTGAAAGGAACAATCTGTTACTAATTACTCAGGTCTACTCTGCACTCCCCTCCCAGCACAGCTGAATGCCAATATGTGCCCACAAGGAGCATCCTCACCAGTGACCAGACAGAACTGGAAACAAGCCTCTAACGCTACAGGTGCAGGCTCCAGAGTCCCATTCCCATCACCCTTTCTGCTTTTTCATTTCATGCCCCCTCCACACCATCCCAGGTACACCGTAAAGTTCCTGCACTCAGGGTAGCCTCCCTCTTTCCACTGCAAATATTAGCTTTCTGTCACCCTAAATGGTCCCTCTTACACTAACTGCAAAGTTAGCAAGAATAGGACAAGTTGCTGGTAACAACCGTGCACCAAGCTGTGTGTCCTGTTCCCACAGCTGGGCTGCCGCTTCCTGAATGACAAGCACCTCGACAAGGATTACTGCCATGACAGAAAGAGTGGGACTAGGGAAGATGATCTCATGTCGCCTGTCTGCACTCAAGAGAACTACATTTCTTCATGGCATCATACTTGGCACTCAATTGCCTCCTAAAACAGAGGTACAGCAAAGCACTTAAAAGCAGGTAATCATTCTTCCATATCTCTGGCACCGGCTCACCATCTTTTAGGGACTGAAATTGCTTCCACAAAAATAACGAGACTTCAGCCATTAATTCCAGTGGCAACAGAATCAACCTTGGTAATAGATCTTCCCTGCCATTAATAAAGTCTGCTGTTCTTTTTACTAATGCATTTGTTCACAAACACACATAACCAGGCAAAATGTCATGTGGATGCCCTTGGCACTGGATGCCTGGTCATTAATGATTCACATCAAACAACTACCTGTTCAGAGAGTGATTACTTTTTTATTTCCCCCCCAATTTCTATAATCTTTACCCTTCCCTGAAACCTAAAATTTGATACTTACTGATGCCAACAGCTGTAATAAGTTTAATCGCAAGTTCTGGGATTTCACACTGCATAAAGAAAGGTTCCAAAATGTAACGTCCAAATGCCAACGATATCACTGCTGTGGCAGCAGGGCTAGAGTAAAAACAACAAAGTAACAAAATTAATCTGCAATAGTCCACAGATGTTATTCTTATGGGATCATGTTGTAACTTCACTATCACTGAACTGTGGACCTTAATTTTGGTGCCTGCTGGTAACTGTGCTGACATGTCCCGTGGTTTCTGAATGTAGCATTGCTCAGAGGTTCTGGTCTTGACAGCAACATCTCTGACCACTTCTTACATCCACGCTGCAAAGCAGCCATAATCAGAAAGGAAAAGTACCAACAGAAATCTTTATTCACTTGCTTGAAGTGAACGCAGCCAGAATTGGCTTACGTGGGCGAAACCCTGAATAAAAGTCAGTTTGAATTTTAGTGGCCAGGTATATCTCGCCCCTCAGAGACACAAGGAAATTAGTTTCAGTCAAGCCGAGAATTCTGGTTTACTGAAAGAAGCACCAAAAACCCACCCAAGTTTGTTATGAAATTCTGAGACAATGGAAAAAAATTAATTAAAATGGGATTTCCTAGAATACAAACAGAATTTGTTCCTTTTATTGACTAACAACTTCCTAGCACTGCAAGTGACAGCAAAAATCCACGGAGCACAGAAAACACCTACCATAAAATCAAGAAATGTCAAGAAAAGCAAGCAGTTGTTGGATTTACAAATTTGAAATGCTCATAATATTCATACAGCCTTTCTCCTTGAGACAAGCTAATTGTTTGCCAGAAACCTTAGCACTGACACGTGTTAATAGCAAATTAGCCTTGAATCAGACACTGTCTGCATATTACAGTTCCAGTGGTCTGTTCACGTTCCATTTGGGAGGACACTTTCACCCTTCTTAGGACAGCTGGTGGCATCTGTGCTTTATCACACACCTCACACACTGTAAGGACAAAAGGGCATATGATTCTGTCTCAAAGGATTTCTGAGTTAAACCAAAGTCCACGCAAATGTCTTGTGAAAAAATATACAGCATTTAATAAAATAATACCTCACTTTGATAAAAATGCTATGCAGCAGGGTAAAAATTCTGCAGAGAAGTTGTTATTCTCCATTGAACAACAAAGGAATTTTCCACAAGGGAGTTTCACCTTGGAAACAAAACCCACTTTCTTCATGTTATCACTCAACCCAGAAGTCACACACTATATTGGACCAAGCTGCAGAGCATCAGAGAGCACAAGTATCTTCCTCGGAAAGTTTCTGCATGGATGAGCAAGGGCTGCTGCATGTGCATCTCCCATGCACGAGGATGTTCCTCCCACTGGCCAGCAAATGGCTTTACAAATTTTGCCTAGATTTTCACAGACATTTACGGACTTTGGTGCAATATTTCTAACTCACATAAAATCACCAGGCCTCCAGTTTTTAAATACTGCAGCCTGCCAAAAATAGTTTGAAGTGCCCTAGATCAGATGAAAGATCACATCTTTGGAGATGTCACAGACTTTTTTCCTCAGTCTCAGCTCCTTTTCCAAGAACTTGGATTTTTCCCTCCCTTTTAAGGAAAAGCCTTTTTAAAGAAGCAGTCTCTGCTACCTGCACCACTCTGTTTCTAAAATCATAGCTCCTAAATTACACCTCTAATAAAGAGCTTTGTCTCTGGCGTTCCCATGTCTGGGAGGAGATGTTGCTGGCAGTGCAGTCAATCAGTGGATGTGGAAGTTCAAAGAATGGAGCAGTGTTCAAAAAATGTGCAGGTGGGGTGTTTAGGGACACAGCCTAGCGATAGATTCAGCGATGCTGAGTTAATGGGGGTCTTTTTCAACTTCAGTGATTCTGTGCTTTTCCTTCTGACTACAATCCTACAGGCAGGCTGGCAGCCCTCAATAGCTCTGTGTTCAGCAGCAGATAGAAAGCACATGAGCAGCTTTCACTGAGGGGGAAGGACACAAAACGCCACCGAGGGAGAAGCAGGTCAGCGCCCCAACAAATACCACAGGTGAGTCAGGCACCTGGCAGTGCACTTTTACCCAGCCTGCGTTTAGCAACCACCACAGACTACAGACAATGCAGTCACATGGTCATCTTCATTTGTTTGAAAACTAGTTGTTTGGGGCTTTTTTCAAGGTATGTATATCTATAAAATACTCAAAACCTGACTTTTGGGGAGAAAAAAAGTTCACACTTGCACTGGATGAGGAGCAAGGCATAACTAAACAGCAGGTGAGGCACAGTTTAATCAGTATGTGGGCAGAGTTTAAGTGTGTCCTACACAGCAAAGTAGTGCCTGTAGAGATATATGTAGGAAATGTTTACTTTGGTTGCAACTGCTCCAACAGCCTGTGAGTGTGATAATCCTGCAATCTTTGAGAGGAAAACACAGCTTAGCTGAGAAGTGTCTGCACAACTTCATCTGCCGAAAAGAAATATAGACAGATATTTGGTCTCAACTTCTTTGATAGCGGCAGCCAATTAGTTTCCTGATGCAGGAGTCAGGTATAAAACTCTACACAGAGGTTCAGCAGCGCTGCTCTGATCATCACAAGTTATAACATGTACACCTCCCTTGCTGCCTCTCTGGCTGATTAAAGAGTTCACTGATGTTCGTTCCCATGCAAGATGATTATTTTCTGGGTGTGGGGCAGATCACGATGACTAAGAGTATTTTCATTACATTCCTGGGACACTGTCATACGTAAAAAAATAATTATTTTGTGAGGAGAAGAATTCATGAAGCCTGGTTTCTTGTGGGTGTTTGTGCCTGGGTTAATAAGGTCCCTCTGCCTAACAAGGTGCAGGTTAAGAAGGAGATTTGTAACACTGCTCTCTTTTGTTGATTCTGTGACGTGAAATGATATAGCTGTTCACAGCACTGTGAAAACATAGGTCTCATTCCTCTGCCTGATTTTCATTTTTGGCAGAAGGTTAATACAGTTGAGACATTTGCCCTTTCATCACACTTGATGGAAATTACACAGTTAATTCAAAGGTTATGTGTGGGTGGGGAGGATGCGAGGGACCATCTGACACAAAATTATTTCCTCCGGAAACAACATAAGGATTTATGTATTCATAATGACTCAGCACTGTCAGCACTTTTAAACTCAATAATCTACGTTAGAACTTGTTAATGTTATGTAAACATAGTTGTGATCCGAAATGAGGCTTGTGCTTTTGTGACTAATCTGCTGATTGCGGAAGAGAGGGGAAAGGAGTGCTAACCAGCCTGAGGTGGGGATGGAGCATTCCCAAAGTCATTATGCATAAGTGAGTTGCCCTGTTCTACATGTATCAAGCTCTCCAACGTCAGCAATACTGTAAAAATAAAAATTCAAAGGGCCACATGCGAGTTTGATACAAAGATCCATTTACATTATGAAAGTTTATTTGATATGATCTGGCTTCTTTCTATTGTAGTTCATTTATACAACATCAAAGGCTTACAAACCAAAACAACACTTTGGACATTTTAGATATGTGAAGACTTAATGTCGCCTTATTTGGTCAGCTAGTGCTTTTCATAGTAAAAGTTCTCCAACACCCCACAAAAGCAAAAAATGGGGATCCAGGCTGACATATAAAGCACACATGGTGCTCCTGACTGAACACTACTGGGCAATAGCTTCACCAGGAGTTATTCCTCTGTCCACAGACAACAGCAACTGCTCTAAAAGCTACTGCCAAGACTCATAAAATTTAAAGGTGATTTCCCTCTCCCACTGTACTATATCTAGGTATGGGTTTTATTAGTGACATTAATGGATACAGTAAGCTTAGCAAGTAGTTTAATCTGTGTGGCAGGCAGTTTTCTTAGAATCTTTTATTTCCTTCATACACGTCTTCTTGAATGTTTCAATACTGACAAGCAAAATAATATTTCTAAACTCTCTGAAGCAACTATACTAAAAGAACACAGTTAATTGATCAAGATATATTTTATTTGTTTTGCCCATCATGTATTGGACATTTTTCTTTATGACTGAAAAGCATTTTCCTATCAGAAAAGAAACAGAAAAGTCACATTACACTTACCGAATAATGAGTAGTTCAACCCAGACTCTCACAAAAGCAGGTAATGGACCAAAGGCCTCCAGGATATAGGTGTAGTGACCACCAGATTTCTTAATGCATGTTCCTAGTTCAGCATAGCAGAGGGCACCTATGAGAATTAAACTGTGGTATCAGAAGAGGCATCCAGAAATACCTTTCAAAACATTTACAGGCCAAACAACAGAGCTGCCATGGTATCATACCTACTTTTTATAGATTTATTTTTTCCAACCAATTTTGTAAGTCCCAATTCATTCAGCTAGACATGCAGTTGACCAAACTGTACATATATAAAGTTACATTTATTTGTAAAGCCACTGGACAAGCTATTTACTATCAACAAGTGTTGCTACTCATCTTCATCTTGTGAAGAGGGACAACAAAGCAGGGTGTCACACCAGCTACCCTACTTCCCAGACAGCCAGACTCCACTATTAAGTGAAAGTTTTCTGACACATTTGCTTGTTGTCAAAGGCTGCTCAGCTCCTTTCAACCTTAGAGATGCCTGGCTCAACCTCTGAAGAAAATCCTGAAGACTGTATTACCTCTCCTCAGCCACGGGCAAAAGCAACCAACTGGCAAAAATTCGGAAGCGGGAACTGCAAATTAAGAATTTTCCTCGAGAGTATTCCTTATATATTATATACAAAATTCGGGGGATGGCTTAGCCCTGGCTTTTCAACACTAGTGGAGTGGTTTTGTGTGCTACGAATGCAGTGAAAGCTCAGGACCCACCATTCAGTCACCAAGCCAGGGGATTCTCAGGTCCATGGGTGGGCTGGATCAACAGAGAAGTGTACCAAAGCTGATAAACATAGGTAGCCCTTTCAGAAGAGACTGAGAAGCCAGATGAAAACAGTAATAAAGTTTGTAAGCACTGTACAACACAGAGTTAAGCTCAGCAACATACACAAATTCATCTCAGCTCTGTTCCTTGCATGCTTTCATGCCACAACACTTTTAGATAAAAACTAGAGTTGTCAAAACATCACACGTACAAGCCCATTAAAGCTGAACCACATAATGACAAATTCCATCCTTGCTCATTTGCTTTGGGGTTTTGCAAAAACGTGGCAGCTTTTATCTATTCTTCAGCTCACCTGAAAGCGTACTTAAAGGAATCCCTACAGCCACATTAAAAAAAGCTATTGCTGGGTTTTCTTTTGCCAGGCTCCTCTGTGGAAGTTCAGGATGAAGTTAAATTGTTTCAATACCTGTTATACACACAGCCTCAGCAAGACCTTAAGTGACCTTAACGTGTGATTTAACTATAATTGAGTCATGGAGGAATTAAAAACAACCATGGGGGGGAAAAAAACAAAAACAAAAAGACATGAGAAAAACAAAATTGTAAGAGATCCACTTTGAGAAAGAGATAGTATCTTTTGTTGGGCCAAATTACATTCTTCATATCTAGAGGTCTAGAAAATGAGCTACAAATTCTGTCTGATAAAAGAGATTTTCTTTTCTTTTTTTTTTGTACAGACTTTACTTCACAGCCAGAAAATCACTACTACTACAGTTACAGTCAAAAATGCGGTGCTTAAGCAAACTCTCTGTTGACTAAATCAAAAGACCAAGGTCTTCTGACAGTTTCAAATTGATTCTGAGGTTTTTCTTGATAGGAGAATTTTGATTACAGGCAGGACTTCCATGTTCATACAACAGATTATGCTGCACATTGTACCAACACATTTAACATTTGACCCAAATGGGTCCTAACTCACACTGTCTGTTTGGCCTGGGTGGGCTCAACCTGTAAACCATCTGTGTCTTCCTAAAACTCAGAGCCAACTTACACAAGGTGGCATTTGCCTGTTCCACCTATTAAGCAGACACAGACATGTGTTAGTCCTTATTTGTCCTCTTTACCTCCTGCCAGTAAACAGGTCATTTCTGTTTTAAATAAAGCCAATATTCATGTTAGCTCTTCAGCTTCTTTGAGATTAACTCATTAAATAGGTCAATGAACCCTCTGTCCCGCAGAGGCCGGGGTGGGGTTTTCCACTCTGAATGGGGGTTTTGTGTACTGAACAACTAAACTGGACTTCTTCAGAATTTAACACTCTTCAAGAATACACAGAATTAGTAAAAACTCCCACGATAAACAGGCCGGCAATAAAACTCCCATGACAAATTTGCTTCCAACACATTGTTTGTGGCAGCCCAGTCTTTGAAAGCAACATCATGAGTGAGGAATGAAGTAAAGCAATGGGGAGAGGGGTTATTAGTGTTATTGTTTTGCTCCCTTTCATGCCAATACAGCTTACATACAGTGGGAATTATTCCTCTCAGACCTTTCTCTAGCCTCTAGGGAACTAAATCAAGCTGTCTAAACATTTCAGTGGTGTTCAAGCCACATGACCCATATCTCCAGCTGCCGGCGGCCTTACAAGTCAAACGTAAACTACCTCTTACAGACAGGAGAAAAATATTATACATACAGCACATTTTATGGAATAAAATGAACATTTGCTTTTCCTGTTCCTTTAGGGACCCATAAGAAACAATAATTTATGCTTCCAACTTTCACCAGCTAGGTGCTGGGGGTGAGGTGGGCAGGGGTAGCAGATCTTTGCACCCTCCACAAACCTTCTGTAGCCCCATTGGTCCTCAAGCTCTGCTCTGTGACTTGCTATCCAATAGTAAAATCAGACAAATAATCACGATAATCCACCGGCCGCCCCTCCGGACCAATTAGAAACTTTGCAGGGACTTACCAAAAAGTGAGAGGATACCACATGCTGTCCAGACAGTCAAGGACATGCCCACGCTGCCTGTGTTCTTCAGGATGCCTTTGGGAGAGATGAAGATGCCAGCTCCAATGATAGTGCCAATTATGATGGATATCCCCCTCAAAAGCGTCACTTTCTTCTTCAGCACAACTTTTCCCTCCAGGGCTGGCTGTCCGCTGTCCACAGAGGACAACCTGCCATTAGCTTGCCCCTGCAAGTAGCTTCCATTAGAGACCGTGGGCAGAGCAGCTTTCCTAGGCATGCTACAGTGCCACCAGCACACTGACGGCAAGCACAGGCAGAAAAGTTTTCAGCAGGAACTCAAGGATTTTTTTTTCCCCCTCTCTGTGTAGCCAACTACTTTGTCTCTTCCTCTGTCCTCTCTTATCTTTCCAGCTGCTCCTACGCACAGGTAACAAGCTCCTAAAGAGTATGTGAGCCCTTCCTGCGATCCGAGCCTGGCTCAGGAACACCTGCGCTTTCACACAGTGAGCTGGTACTGCCCTATCATTGGAAACCAGCTCAGCTTCCGCGTGGACTTGTATTTAAGCTCTTGTCATACCAAGTTACTCCAGCTGAATGATGATGCAAATTCTCCAGGTTTGCATCAGCCATTTGAGAAAACTCTGGCATTACTCAGCATTTCACTTTTTTCCGGCCACCCCCCCCTCCTTTTTTTTTTTCCTTCTTGAACCGTAGGGGCATGTTGCACAACTGACCTGAGGGTGGTGGGAAGAACAAAGGACTCGCAAGCAGACCGAGCCAAACCTGGCCAATCAAGCTAAGCACGTCACCCTCGACACCCCGAGACACGCTCCCAATTTTTTTTTTTAAAGCAACTCGCAGCCAGAAACAAAAGCCTGCCTAAACATAAAGCTCGTCAGAGCGCAAGGGGAAAAGAAATCAAACAGGATACGTCATATCTGGGTCTAATCCAATTTCATTCTCGAAAAACTCTTAACAAAAAAGTTAAGTTTGCCGGGGCTGAACTTCTCGTGTTGCCCTTGATCAGCTTCTCCCCACGTCTATGTTACTTATTCGGAAATCTGTGCTGGGACCAGGACCTACCTAAAGCACAATACAGCCCCCGTGTTACCCTGAGTTGCTTAGCAACACCCCCCCAATCAGCCTAAAGAACAGCCAGGGGTTATTTCCACAGAACGGTGATTTTCATATGCGCAGCTTGTTTCCAGGATGTCGGTAAGCAACACCACTTCTCCTTAAAAAAATACTTTTAAAGTTTACGGCCGACTCGAGCGTGTGATCCGGCAGGAGGAAGACAACACCCTAGAGCACGGAATCTCCAGCAGCTCAGGAATCAGCATGGGACTTTTTTGTTGTCACAGAGCTTCCCTGAGCCCATAAACAGGTAATCAGATGAATACGTACATTTGTTTCACGACCTGATCATTCAAATTCAAACCTGAGCAATTAAACTGTTAAAAAGAGGTGCATTTCCCCAAAATAAACCAAAAATCTACAGCCTTCAAACACTTGTGACCTAATCAAGGGACAGGCTGTGCAATATATGTCAAAGGGGACAAATCCTTCGTGGCATAGCTATTGTAGCTGCTCATGGCTTCAGATTAGATCAGTGAAGTGAGAAATTACTGCTGCAGTTACTGCTCTTACAGGAATTGCTTAATTAGTACCTAGGTTTGACAGAGAAAATAAGATAAGTTAAACCATTTTATCATTCAAAAAGCAGGCACTGAGCTCAGAGCACAACTGTGCTTTCAAATTCATGTGAGAAAGAGGAAATCCAGGACTATCAACACGCTGCAGCTGTAAAACTTCAGTGTTTTTAAAGCCTCGTATTTTCAGTTATAACTCACTTGTAATAGTTGGCACTGAGATAAAAGAAGGCATAAAAAAAAAGCTTATCTGGTTTAAATGCACACAGGTAAAAAGCAAAGTGGTTGTAGATTTTGACTGCATAGCAGTCAAGTAGTGCTTGCCTGTTTTCTGAACATATCTACTTCTCCCTCATCTACTGATATGCTCAGCAGCTGATCCCCACAGTCCTGTTGTCACTGCAGTGAGTGCCCAACCTTTTTGGGAAGTGACTGTCCCTCCAGTATGTGCCATTGGTGACTGCACAGACCGACGGCAGGCGGGATCTTCTCACAGCCAGTTTTCGAGGAAGTAGTTACATGCAAAGCCAGGACCAGGTGGCATGCTATGGCAAGCTGTTTTCCCCTGATGCACATTTCACACACTGCCCCCCAACAAGATTAGGCAACTACATCAAATCAAACCAGCAAAAAGCATTAACTACGGACACGGACTGGGCTGATGATCTTTAATTTTCAAAGGCTCTTTAATGAAGAAACACATGACATCTTCAAACATCTACTACTTTGAGGTAATCATTTCTAACTGGTGTTTATCCTTTATTTACACAGGAAGATGGTTCCAAGATCAAACTTAAAGCTCAGTAACCAGACAATCCTGAGGCAGCTCCCAGCAATCCAGTTGGCTGCAAGAGCCATCCAGTACAAATGTTGGGCAGTATAATGGCTTTCAAGTATCATTTGATCACTGGCCAGAAGAATACATGTTTGCCCTTTGGACATAGCAATTAACGCTCTCCCACGCAGGGAAAAGGGTGTTTGCTCCTTCTGTGGTATCAGGATGGCATGCATGCAAAGCTTAGGACCACATGAAATTCCCAGAGAAACTTATAAGGAGGGACCTGAGGAAGGCTGGATGCAGAAGACTCTTTTTCTTAACTACTGGCAGCTCACTCATTGACCTCGCTATTTGTAGCCTCCCCCGTGAGTACTGTTGTGCACACTGCTTCTCTATGCTACCCACTAAAAATAAGAAAAATAGGAGCAGTTTTTCTCCTTTGAGTTCCAGCTTTACTTCCAATTATCGGTTCCACCCAGGGTAGGGAATGTTTATTTGGTGTTGGGGGATTATTTGTTATATTCTGGAAATTTCATGAGAATTTTCCATCACCTGAGCTCAGTCCTAAGGAGGGCATGAAGCTGGAAGAGGCTCATAACTGTCTGCTGCCCCCATTACACAGTATACTCACAAAATCTCTTCTGATTATTTGTAGCCCACCATCACTTCTATTTGAATTATTCATCACAGAGTGAGAACCACTATGCAAACACAAGAGACAAGGCTCAGTGTCTTTTCAGAGAGCTCTTCTGAAAACGCAGGGCTTAACCTGTCCAACACCCAGAACGGCCCCATTCTTCCATAAAAACTCACTCTAAAAACAGAACAAAAAGGTATAAGGTGCAGTTTTCTCTAGACTGAAATTATTTGAAGCAATGTTTCTAAAAATGAAACTCTGAAAATAAACCTTCAGCCTCTTGTAGCAGCTGGCATTGTGCACAGCCTTTTATTGTTTCTCTCCACTTGTTTGTTTTTTTTTTTCCCAGTTCATACAAGTCGTCCTACACCTATACCCAGCAAAGACCTAAACCACCAGCAGAAGGGTTCATCTCCCCAGGCTGGTTGCCTGCTGCCATGGGTGGGCTCTGGTGAACAGGACCTGTCACGGTGTGAACAACCTTTCTGTCAGCTGCACCTCACTACTCAATGCTCGAGCATCACACAGAATAATGGTACTACAGTGTTTCACAGACCCAACAGTCCTGACAGAGGGTCACCCCCATTTACCACACTCGTAGAGCTTGTGCTGATACCAGGACACAACTCCCTCTTTCAAAAGGAGCTATAATTTTGATATTTTCCCTGAGAAATGCTAACACACACACACACACACACACACACAGAGCATTCCCTTTTATGCTAATGCTACAAGAAACACAGCAAAGTGAAGGACCTAAAATTCAAGCCTGAACTTGAGTTCCCATTTCTCAAGCCCACAAAAACCACAATTTCTAGGTGTAGAGAGCATACCTTGACAATCCTTCCAGGCATTTGTATATCAGCTTATTGCATCCAACAAATCCAAGGAGTCACAAGTCAGGCCTCCAGGCCACACATTGCCACGCTGACTGGAGACACGGGAATAAAAGAGGAAGTACAGCAAGACTGAAGAGGCGAGGAAAGCCCCAAACTCTTTTATGTGGGTGGTGTGGCATGAAAAATGTTGTTTAGAAAACTGATCTGAGTCTTCTCTGTATAATGCCGGGTTGTTTGTGAGCCTCAGAAAGCAGCCCTGTAGGAAGGCAGTAGTCTGGTTTCAAATGTCAAAGGATGGCAAAATACCTAAAAGTATTTGTTTCATGTAGATAATCTAGCATCAAAAAGTTTTGACTGGGGATTTTTGCTCCCTTTGTAGTGCTGAGGAGGAGTTTAACTAGAGTTAGGGGGAAAAAAATAATCTGTAAGCATTTAAGAACTAAGGTGTCCTTGGGAATTAAGTGAGAATAAATCATCATGAAGTAACAAAAATCTCAGCAGATTGGGATGGGTTTTTTAAGTTATAATGCAAACAGAACTCTGAGAAGATTGAAACAATTTGTTATTATCTCTACTACAGGTCAAAGCTTTAGTTAAAAATGGAATTACTGAGAATGTTAGGGGGAGTGTTATTTTGTAGTCGGAGACTTACAAATTACTCGCCTAATTATTTTGCATTCCACTTTGTGCTGAATACAAAGATGATATTTAGCAGCAAAACAAAAACTGAGAAGGAATGAAATACACATCCAGCTCACAGGCTTAAAAAATAAGATAAAACCACTATAAGAAATCCAAAAGCAATTCAAATATTATTTCTTATATTTTCAGTCAAAAGCTTCCAATAAAAGGCAGGAAACAAATAGAAATCTGGTACCAAGAAGACTGCAGACAACAATAGCAGTCTAGAAGGCAAATACTTCTGAAAGTTTCCCTGTCTCCCATTTGCTGATAGCTGCCAGTCAATTTTCAGCTGGAATAGAAAAGAAAAAAAAAGGGATTTCAGAAATCCTTCTTATTTTTCTCACTATTAAAGCTCTATTTCAAAAGACATGATGATTTTGCCTGATGGTTTGACAGTTTAATGGATCTTTTTTAAGCAGACAGGAATCATTAGTACCTGGTACCAAGCAAGAAAACTCCTCGTGAGAGAAAGACGATTCTTACTGAGG